AAAAAAAAAAAAAAAAAAAAGAGGAAAAAATAGAAAAATTTGGAATCATGCACACACACACATATATAATACACACGCACTGCAGCCGGAGCTCGCCGCCGCCCGCCGTCCCAAGGCCGTCATGTCTGGACGGAGCCTCCACAGCTGTGCTGTCACAGACTGGAAGCAGGTCCCCGTCGTCGGCGATGAGTAGTCGTGGATGTCGAACCCGTCGTGGAGTTCGAGGAAAAAATGGTCGTGTCGGACTGCGGCTGTCTGACATGAACGTCGTGCCCATCGTGGTGCTCGACGGCATGGTGGACGCGCCGGACGGCGACATCGGAGGCGGGAGTTGCGGCGATTGTTGGCTAGGTGAAGGCAGATGCGAGTTCTGGCTCCGGCAGAGCTCCTAACATCAGCCGTCGTGTGTGGCGTATGTACGTGTGTGTTTTTTTATTTTTCTTTTTCTTTTATGCAGACCTGAAATCGGCGAGAAAGGAGGGAGATGGTGATAAAGAGAAAAGCATGTGATTGATTTGTGTATGGGTCCCACATAAATATAATATATGTGTATTGACCAATTTAACTTTAATTATTGGTCAAATGCACATATTTAACCACATTATAATTATATAATTATCAGAACGCCATTAATGATTTACCATAATTTGATTTCATTACCGTTGATATGTTTGATCCTATGTCCAAATATATTCTTAATTTACTCACTATATTCCTTTCATATAAATACATATTTGACATCTGAATTGTACACCTCAACATTGCAAATAAACCACATCAATATATACCACCAAGTTAAGAACATAGGGAAACTCCAGAATCCAGATATATATCAAATGACAAACCACGCAAAATATATTAAAATATCAACTTCACCCACTTACGAACCACACCACAAAATATATATATCAATCATCTCTTCATCATTGGTGTAGGCACTTATGGGGTGATTCGCATATTCCACTCATATCATCATATGATTTTTATGCTCACATCATACCACACATAAATTATTCAAGGAGTACATCATCATCATTACACACACACACACACACACACACACACACACACACACACACACACACACTATTACAATTTACACGTACATGTGTACCATATTTAAACACAATAACACAGTACAAATATATATATAGGTATAGACCATGCTTTATTTTTATTATTACATATTTTTTTTTTAATTAAAAGATGTGGTGATGTTTTTTCCCCTCAGCCCTCTCTGCATCCTCCTCAGCTTCCTTCTTTTCATGATGCTCGTGGAACGCATAACCGCCAGACCCCACAGCCACGGCAGCCGCCACCTCTTCCTCTACCTTGTGCCGGTGCTTGTTCTCTGGGTCCTTCTTCGCCTCGTGCTTCTCATACTAGTTTCATGTATACATACATAAGTAGGAATTATCGAAATTAAAATTTTTTGATCTATAAGAAATTAAGTATATATGCTCCTAACATTAATTAATATCGAGAAGTAGTTACCAAGGCAAAAGCACCAGCGGCTAAAGCACCCATCTCACCAACATGCTCCTTGTGCTTGTGATGCTTCTCTTCTTTCTCATGTTTCTCGTGCTCATCATCCTTTCTACTTTCACCACCGTAACTTCCAAAAGCCTCGGTTTTTTCGTATTTGCCGTAATTGTCATATTTATTATCAGGTTGCTGATCACCATAATTACCACCAGTATTTGTTGTGTAGGCGGTTTCCGAGTAGGTCACGGCCTCCACTGGCTTCTCTTCCTCCTCATCCTTGCGGTGGTGGAAGAGGTGGTGGTGGTGGTGCTTCTCTTCGGCCATAGCTGCACAATTATTAATAGATTAACTTATATAAATTTCAAGAATATTGGAAGTTTTAATATTATTAATGTTTTGTGCTTTGTAGCTTGTTGTGTTGGGGTATTGTGTAAGGCTAAGCAATGTGGTATTTATAGGCAAGCCAATGGAACGGATGAAACAATTGGATGGTTAGGATTATTTTCAATTTTCGTCTAATAGGATTCAATTTTTATCCACCACGTGACAGCACCTAGTGTCACTGGGCTTCTAATCCACTTGTATATAATTTTTGAATATGTTGAGTCCAAGTGGTATACTTGCTTGCTTCGAAATCTTATGTGACAAATTTTTTTGGATAGATTTTAATTTATTCCCAATTTTAAAATAGGTGCGGATTATCCATAAATATATGTTGATTAGTTATGGTCATTTTAGATGTATTAATTGCATTTTCCTTTAATATAATTTTTTATTATACCCATTGAATTATAATCCTCCCTATATATAATTTCTGAATGCGCTGAGCCTACATGGCTGCTTCTGGTGCTTCGGAATCCTACTTGGCGAAGAACCATGCTTCGTAATTAAGTTTGGACAAATAATATTGATATATTAATAATTAATATTAATAAAATTATTTCCGAATGCGCTGAGTCTACATGGCTGCTTCTGGTGCTTCAGAATCCTACTTGGCGAAGAACCATGCTTCGTAATTAGGCTTTCTAATAATATTGATATATTAATAATTAATAATCTAGGTTTATACTTTCCGTAAATATTATTTAGCTAACTTAGTTATTTTAATATCACTTGTACTAATATAACCATTTAATTCCTTGTAATTTTACATAGTGAGACACTAAGTGACTAATATATCCCTGACTTTTGATTTGTTTCCTTCATTTAGCTATTGAATTGTAAATGTATTTTAAAAGTTAATAACTTTTGCATTTCTTATCGGTTTTATATATATAATATATAAAATTAATCATCTTTTGATGATCTTCGATTTGACATCTATATTGTATATATTGAAATAAATAAATTATATTTATATTTATAATAATAAAAAATAATTATATTTATTAAAATTCATTAGAAAAATAAAATTATTTCTCAATTGATATATTTATGTTTAATGTAGTTATATGTTGTAAGTTAAAAAAATTATTATAATATAACACAGGTAAGTGGCACAAATAAAAAGTGTCATACTAAATATATAATAATATATTTTTTTTATAAAATGCATTTAATTTTTTAACTATTTTTTCTCATTAATTTTAGATTTTAAGAAAAAAAATTAGCAAGCACCCGTGTAATACACATGAGTTGTACTAGTATATTTTAAGACATAATAATTTTTGTAATTTTTATCAGTTTTACATATATAATATACGAAATTAATCATCTCTTGTTGAACTTCGATTTGACATCTATATCATATATATATAAAAAGTAAATAAATTATATTTATATGTATAATAATAAAATTATTTATCAATTAATATATTGTGTTTAAAGTAGTTTATATATAATATATAAGTTAGAAAAATAATTATAGTGATCGATTTCTTCTTTCTCTCTCTATAACCCTAGCCAAACCGTCGCCAAAAATTCAGCCGATCGATTCTCCCTTGCCGGACATCTGGGTCTGTCGGTGGACGGCCTCCGTCGCTCGTCCATGGTGGTGCCGCCCTCGTCCCAGCTTTTGGATCTCTGTCCTGGGTTGAGCGTCGGACAACGGAGGTGCTCCTCCTCCATTGTTGGTTGCTGGAGTCCAGGTTCAGTTGGAGATGGTCGTGGTGCGGTGCTGGTCCATGGACGAGGCTGGGTCCACCGCAATCCACTTTTGCTGGGATGCGGCTTCATCGCCCTGCTCGCCCTTCTCGTCTCCGGTCAGGACTTGCGCCGTTTTGCCGGCCAAGAGGCCATTGACATAGAGCTTTTCCAATTCGACACCCGGTTGTGTCAATTGAAGGTTTGTTCTTGCTATTGCTTCTTTAGCCTCGGTTTTCCTTTTTGTCCTCGATCGGTAGAAACTCTTTCCTTCTTGGCGAGCTGGATACGAGATTCTCGGTTGGGGGTCGTCGTTTTTGCTAGTTTCAGGAAGCGACTTCCGGTTAGTGCTTGGCTGTCGGTTGTCTTCAGATGATTGGGGTTGGGCTGTGTGGTCGCTGTTTCAGGAGGGCTGCCTCGGTGAAGTCGAGCCGTGTTTATTCGCGTGATTAGAGTGCGGGCTAGTTACTTGGTTGGTACTGGGGTGCAGATACCCGTCTTGCTAGGCCTTCTGCAGTGGTGGGCGGTCGTTTCTGTGCTCTGGAGCTGTCTGTGTAATTGGTTTGTGGCGGTCGTTTCTGTGCTCTGGAGCTGTCTGTGTAATTGGTTTGTCTGTCGTATGTCTAGATGTTTCCGGCAGGGGAGGCTGTGTTCTCTTTTATGTTTTTGTTGTAGTTTTGTTTGGTCTGTGTTATTGTTGTTTGTTTCTTGGTCTGGTATTTTTGGTTTGGGTCGTTGGTCTCTGTGCTCTCGGGTGTCATCTTATTACCCTATTGGGGTCCGACACCTGGGTATTACCCTGTTGGGGTCTCTGTGTTGTGTTGATTGTGTTTTGTGTGTTTTATTACCCCTTTGGGGTCGTGGTCGTGTAGTAGGTCTGTTTAGTTTGAGTTTATATTCTAGCTTTGCTAGCGGGATTCTAGGCGGGCTTCTGACTGTCCTCCCATTTTATTCTCCCGTTGAGAGATTTGTATTTTTTTATGCGCACATTTGTGCGCTTTTAATTTATAATAATACATCTACCGTTCCGAAAAAAAAAGATAAATAATTATAATATAACACATGTAAGTCGCACAAGTAGCAAGTGACATTCTAAACTTTATTTTTTGTAAAAAAATATTTAAAATTTAAACACTTTTTCTCATTCATTTAATATTTAAAAGTAATTTTTTGTGTAAATCATGTTGTACTAGTAAAATATTATTAATCATTGGAATTCGATCGGACTTTTGAATATATCTTTGACCTTAGCCACTGAGAATATACTTCAATAGATTCCAGTTTACTATATTATATATATATATATACACAATATAAAAGATCCCTATGTTCCAATTTCATATTTCATTAGTGTTTCTGCAGTCAAAAATTATAAACGCATGTTCTCTTGCAGCTTAAATTTAACTAACGTGGCGTTATCAATATGTTTATCTCTTGGTTCGCTTTAATCTAAGTTTAACATTTCAAAACCAAATGAGAAAGCCATGAAAAAAGGTCACTTACTGTCAATTTAGTTGTGGAAGATTGATGATGATGAAAAAATATCTAAAAATAAAAATGAAAAATGTAAGAACAGGAAAAAAGTTGAATTTTATTTACGATAATTTTTAGATCAGTCATGTCAGCGTGTGTTGGCCGGAATCTGCTTTCGAGACAAAGTTGCAATACTTAATAAATATTTAATATTTTTTTGTAAAGTTAAAAAAAGTTAAGTTTTATTTACAATTATACAAAAAATTGGGATTATATGCAATTAATTAATCCTAAAATATTAGTATAATGATGTTTACATACATCGGAACTTGGTAATTAGTTCTTCAAACTTTTTATGTTAGGACCCGATTATGATTGGACCATCGACCATATATTTGGTGAATAGTGTGGGTGGTTGGAATGTAGGCCACATAATAATTATTTCATGCATGGAAATGGATATATGTGGATAGCACCACAGACACCTGTTATGTTACTTAACACAATCAAGGCATAAGGATATGAATATAAAACTCGTATGGTGAGGCTACCCGCGGGTTACCTGCATTTTTGGGTCGAATAAATCTGAGATGATTGTGTTTTGGGTCGGGTTAGCGTAGAATTATGCTACTCGAACCCCAGGTCGGGTGTGGATTGATATGAGATATTATACCTACAAGGATAAACCGATTGGCTGAACCGGTCGAAAGGGTTGTATCACGAGGAAGCCGAACCAATCTAGTGGTAATCGAGCAAGATGACGATGGTCGAACACCTTGAAAATAAGACCTGGAAGACTCTAAGACAGACAATGTATCACAAGTAACTGAAATATCGACCAGTCAAGTAGTCGAGCAGTCGAGCAGTCGAATCGACCTCAATAGATCGACCACTTTATGGATAGGCAGCATTCTAGGGATCGACCTAGTCACAAGCGCATGTAAGAGCCCCAAACCGAATTTCACGGAAATATTCAGCGGAATAATCATTCCATGTGCAGAGGACACATGGCGAGAATGTATTGGTTGATAGCGACAACTACCTCTGACGACTCCCAACACCTCTGACATACGCGCGGCATGTTAGAGTACGGACGGGCAGCTGGGGCAGCCAGCTCACCAAGTCTGGGCAACCCTTAGGTCAGGTATCTCACCCCTATATAAAAAGGGGTGAGTCTTTCTTCCTTAACACGCAATTTCTATTATTCTACTCAAACATACATATACTTACTTAAGCATCGGAGACTCTTCACCGGAGACCCCCTCGCCCCCGGTGTGAGAGTTGTTTGTAGGTTTCCAGCGTTCCACCGGCGAGGGCGAGAGACGATCTATTCCAAACCGGTCAGGACGCTCACGCCTGCATTACGAGTATAGTAGGCAAACCCATTACCTACCCGATTACCCTACACGTTTACCCACAACCATTGAATCATATATATATATATATATATATATATATATATATAACTTATAATAAATATAAAAGTAGTCATGTGTTATTTTTAAAAATTAGATTGTTTATTATAATTTTGATTAATGGTTAAATTTATTTTTTATAATTTTATTATCATTTTCTGTTAATTTTACAAAAAAAATTAAATACTGAATTTTTTAATGTTATAATATTAAATACACTATAAAAGATAAATAATCATATCTCCTTATTTTTTCCAAAAATAATATCATTTTTTATAGTTTCTTATTGTCAAACTTAGTTAATAAATGATTTCTTACATTACAATAAATTGTGAAAGTATTTTATTTTATTTT